TACAGGAGGGCTGACGGCAAGGTGAGCGCAAACACCCCGGTGCCCGGGCCCCTCCATGGAGCTCTGGGCATGCTCACGCTGGTTCACAGTCCATTCGCCTTTCCTTAGGCCTGCTCTCTGCTACTGCACTTTGTGGAGTGGGACGTGTGTGTGTGTGTGTGTGTGTGTGTGTGTGTGTGTGAAGCTGCAATTCACTTTGTATCAGAAAACACTTGGTAGACAATTTTAAAGTCCATTTAAATTTTGATTGTGTTTCTACTGAGTTTTGTTTTTTAAATAAAGTTTATGATTTTTTTTTTTTTTTTTTTTACAGAGAGAAAGGGAGAGTTAGAAAACCATTGATGAGAGAGAAACATGGATCTGCACACCTCCTGCTAAGAATGTACCCACAACCAAGGTACATGCCCTTGGCCAGAATTGAACCTGGGACCTTTCAGTCCACAGGCCGACGCTCTATCCACTGAGCCAAACTTTTCAGGGCTGTTTGTTTAATTAAACCAACATTTGCTCAGAGAGCCGAATTCACCAATGCAAATAATGAGATTATCCAGTCCCACCCCCATTTTAGTCATTTTTTAATTAAGGCTAAAAAGACAGACTTAACAATTTTGAGACAACAAATATTTGAAGAGACACACTTCTTAGGCACTACTGTCCTTAAATGCACTAATAGTGGGCACAATGGAGTATCCAGCTAAGAGTATTTTAATCAAACTGTCTTGTGTACTTCCCTGCGTTCATTATTAATCACTCATCTGCTGTAAGCAGCTTTGTGATCCAGCAGGACCTTACACTAGCTGGGAGACACCAGTCACATGAGAACACATCAGCCCATTTGCATTCATTCATGCATTCATTTCATAATTGTCTGAACTCCACATACATGTTGTGGAGATGCATAAAGGTTTTAGTTTAGCTGGATCAAATTTTGTTTCTTCCTCTGTGTGGCAGAGGGTTCCAATAATGTCAACCTCCCACCTTGATGAGTTTACTAAATAGTTAAGAAAACGAGACAAACATGAAAAGCGACATATTAACACAGAGGCCGAGATTCTGTCTCAAGAGAGACACAGACAAGGAATGGGAGGTCACGGATCAGGAACGTGGCAACCCCAGGCCATGGCTGGAAGAGGCCTGGGAATCCCATTAGCACCAGCAGCGCCAACAACTGGGGATTGAAGGCAGGTGAGCAAGCATTGAGCTGGTGACACACATCTCCTGGCCACAAGCCCGCCCTGTGTCCACAGGCTGGCAGTGGACAAGGCGCTGAAGCCCAGGCACTGTCAGAGGACTGAGTGAGCCTGCTGTGTCAAGCAGCTGCCCGAGACAGGTGTGCGGCGGGTAACTCCAGGGAGATAAGGTGGCGGTTGTAAGACAGACGTGTAAACAGTGGGAAGAGCAGGCGTGTGTGGCATGGGCAGCTGCACCTGCCCAGCAGACATAAGGACGAATACACTGGTGTAAGACCGGACAGGGGCACAGGCTGGCAGCACTTCCCCCTGAAGAGCAGATGTTTCAGAGCCATGGTCCCCGGCCCACAGCCCGCTGAGGAGCCAACCAGCTCTTTGCTCCCCAGGGTAACCCTCCTTATAGGACAGGAAAAGACCCAACTGGGCACCCCCACATCCCCTGGTTTAGGAAGGACAGCCCAGCAGTGTCCCTGTCTTCCTCAAGGAAGGGAGACAGAGGGGAGAAGGCACCCTGTACTCCCGCTGTGTTTCCCTTGGGTTCTCCAAGGTCACAGACACATTGCTTCCTCAGTGTCAACTAAGAATGGACTAGAGAGCTTGGCTGGGTGGCTCAGTGGTTGAGTGTTAACCTATAAGCCAGGAAGCCATGGTCTGATTCCTGGTCGGGGCACATGCCTAGGTTGCAGGCTTGATCTCCAGTCGGGGGAATACAGAAGACAGCCGATTGATAATTCTCTCTGATCATTGATGTTTCTCTCTCTCTGTCCCCCTCCCGTCCTCTCTGAAATAAAAATAGGTTTTTTTTAATGGACTAGAAGTTGCTATTTTTGGAAAATGAGCTGAGAGAGCAAGGGTCCAAAATCCTGGGTGTTTGGTGAAGTGTAATAACTGGGAGCCTGGCTTATCTGTGTAACTGGGAGATCTGAAGAACTGGGTGAGGAATTCAAGTATTGGGCAGGGAACGGACCAGGCAGAGGAACAGTGGCAGTCAGCAGTCCTGACAGAGGCAACACAGGCCCTGGAGTACAGACGGCGCACAGGTGGCCGGAGAGGGGCCACTCCCCAGGGCCAGGCACTCCCTTGCCTCTGGCTTCTGACAAAGGACAGCACATGCACCCAGTCCGGCAGGGTGGGGAGCAGGGGAACCAGCACAGAGCGGGCGTGGAGCTGGACGATCCGAGGCCACCTCCCCGGCAGACACAGAGGAAGAGAAAGGAGAAGGGCTGTTACCAACAAGGAGAAGCCAAGGGCGAAGCAGCTTTGACATCAGAAGCAAGAGGACAATCAGAAGAAAGCTTTGCAATCACTGGCTGGAAAGCAAAGCAGCCCGGCTGAGAAAGAGAAAGCCAGACAGGTTCCTGGAATTTACTCTCACCTGCCCTGTTGGGATCACCTCCTTCAAGAAACCATTCTGATCCCGGTGAAGTCCCCTTCTCCAGGGACACCTCCCCATCTCAGAACCACCTCTGCGTCTGAACACTCCCTTCCTCAGCCCACCAGGGGGCCTCCCAGCCCAGCGGACAGCCCTGGCTGCCCCTTCCCCTCCCATTCTCCCCAGACATTCCCGCAGCCGGCGGCGCCCCCAGGAACGGTCCTGCCAGCAGAGACCATCTTACACCGAAGGGAAGGGAGGGCAAGAGCAGCAGCCAGAGCAGGTTCAGGTTCCCACAGGAACCAACGGACTGAAGTCGCCATTTCCCGTGAAAAGCACTGACTTATCACGACTGGTCACCGGCTCGGGCCGGCCACAGGGGGCGTCCAGCCTTCCCAATGCTGATGTCTTTCAAGAAAAAAGCGTCCTCTACATTTCTCCAGGCCGCAGTGAGGGCACCACTCAAGACACTGACAGACACCCCCCCCCCCCAACTATTCTAATGTCTAAAAGGCAGACACACACATGGAGGTTTCAGAGCCGTTTATACAAAAATAGTTGAACTACAATGCTTTTACCACCTGAAAATATGACATACAAGTGGACATTTGTGAGTTTCTTATACCTTTCCTAAAAATAACAACGGTGGGCCACGTTTTAGAAGAAAACTATATTCTTTTAAAGAAAATGAAAACATTCTCAAAGGAAAAACTTAATTTAAGTCAAATCATAGCGCTGGTCCTGGAGCCCAATCCAGTGCCTTCCCGCAGGGCGCCCCGCGCTCCGCCAGCGGGCTGGGTGCTCCGCCAGCGGGCTGGGTGCTCCGCCAGCGGCTGGGTGCTCCGCCAGCGGCTGGGTGCTCCGCCAGCGGCTGGGTGCTCCGCCAGCGGGCTGGGTGCTCCGCCAGCGGCTGGGTGCTCCGCCAGCGGCTGGGTGCTCCGCCAGCGGCTGGGTGCTCCGCCAGCGGCTGGGTGCTCCGCCAGCGGCTGGGCTCCCGGTTCTTCTCGCGGCTGAAAGGTGGGGGGGGAGTTCCCAGCCGGGAGCCGGGGTGGGAGCCGGGGTGGGAGCCGGGGTGGGAGCCGGGTGGGATTGTGGCTGAAAACACCCACTGTAATCACCGAGGCCAAATCCCAGTGACCAGAGGCCAAAGGCAGGGCTCCCTTGCAGGCCCCTCCCGGCCTGTGGCCCCACCCAAACAAGGCCCACTGGCGGGCAAGCCGCTTAGGGGACACCAACATGCGCCCCTTCTGCCGCCCACCGCCTGCCGCCCGCACCCTGCTCCGGCGCTCTGCACGGCCCTGGCCCATCTGGACAGGAAACGGCTCCATCCCGGCGGCCTGGGAGCCTGCCCCTATGGGGGGGGGGGGGATCTCAGGACATAAGGCCTTGGTAGGCCAGGCTGGGGAGGCGGGCAGAGCCCGCAGGAGGGAAGCGGCTGGAGGAGGCACAGACGGTGAATAAATAGAAGGAGCTTCGCCGTGGGGCCGGCCCTCGGACAGCAGCTGGGCGGCAACTGGGGGGGTGGGCGTTGGAGGAGGGGCGTCTGCGCCATCCTGACCTGGGTCACCCATCCCACCTGTCCTCTCACACACACACACTCACACACTCACACACTCACATTTACACACACACTCACACACTCACACACTCACATTTACACACACACACACACACACACACACACACTCACATTTACACACACACACACACTCACACACACACTCACACATTTACACACACACTCACACGCACACACTCACACACACACACACACACTCACAGTTACACACACACTCACACACACACACACACACACTCTCACACACACTCACATTTACACACACACTCTCTCACACTCACACACTCACATTTACACACACACTCACACACTCACACACTCACATTTCCACACACACTCACACACTCACACACTCTCACACTTACATTTACACACACACACACACACTCACACATTTACACACACACTCACACGCACACACTCACACACACACACACACACTCACAGTTACACACACACTCTCACACACACACACACACACACACTCTCACACACACTCACATTTACACACACACTCTCTCACACTCACACACTCACATTTACACACACACTCACACACTCACACACTCACATTTCCACACACACTCACACACTCACACACTCTCACACTTACATTTACACACACACACACACACTCACACATTTACACACACACTCACACGCACACACTCACACACACACACACTCTCACACTCACATTTACACACACACTCACACGCTCACATTTACACACACACACATTTACACACACACTCTCACACACACACACACACTCTCACACACTCACACACTCACACATGCGCACGTGCACAGGGCCAGGGCCAGGGCCGGGCTCCAGCCCAGCTCAGAGCTTGGTAGCTCAGAGCTCGGTGACGTGCACAGCAGGGGGGGGCGGCCCAGGCCGGAGGCGCCGGAGGTGGCAGCGCCGGCACAGCAGGTGGCCCTCCAGCGGGTAGCAGCGGCGGCCGTCCTCCCCGCTCAGCTGAAGCCCGCAGTCCTAGGGAGAACACAGCCCACCTCAGGGTGCTGGACGAGGCGGGACCCAGGGTAACGGGGTGTGGAGCAGATTGGTAGGGCTCTGGTAAACGCCCAGCGGACTCTGGCTTGTATTTTTGGGGTGGGGGATCAGGAGCCTGGTGTGGGACACATGGCACTGGGTGCTTCTTGAAGGAGGACATAAAAACGTGACAAAACAGATTACATCTCCCTAGGAGCACAGAAACCTAGGAGAGAGAAGAGGGCAGGCGGCTTGGCATGAAGCTCCGATACAGAGAAGAGCCCCGGCTGGTCACTGAGCATCGCCCATGCACCAAAAGGCCGCCAACTCGACTCCAGTGGGGCACGTGCCAGGTGGCAGGCTCCATCCCTTGTCGGGGTGCATGCAGGAAGCAGCTGATTGACGTTTCTCTCTCACACAGATGTGTCTCTTTCTCTCCCCTTTCCTCCCTCTGTAAAATCTATTTTTTTATTTTTAAAATATATTTTTATGGATTTCAAAGAGGAAGAGAGAGACAGAAACATCAACAATGAGAGAGAGTCTCTGCCCAGCTGCCTCCTGCACGGTCCACACTGGGGATCGAGCCTGCAACCCGGGCATGTGCCCTGACCAGGAATGGAACCGTGATGTCACAGTCGACACCCCATCACTGAGCCATGCCAGCCGGGCACTCTAAAATCAATTTAAGCCCTAGCTGGGTTGGCTCAGTGGGTAGAGTGTTGGCCTGTGGACTGAAGGGTTGGTCCCAGGTTCAGTTCCTCTCTGAAATCAATGAAAAATATATTTTAAAAAATAAAATCAATTTTAAAAGGAAAAGAGATTTGAGGGGAAAACCAAAGGGAAGAAACCAAAAATGAATGGTCCTAAGGGCACTGTGACAAGTCAGAGGGACAGACCAGTCGGCGTGCAGCTGCGGGAGGTTGGGGCGGTGACACTGAGAAGTGTCTCCTGGACCCTGTCGGGGAGGGGCCGTTGAAGGGGAGGTTACCAAACGCCTGGCCAGTGGCTGTAAGAGAAATGGAAGAGAAAGATCGGTGGTATCAAGTAAACAAGTTCTGCTCTAAGTCCTTCATCGCACCGTTTACCTCCGTGCTGTACTTTATAGGCTAATTTTGTCTGTCTGTTTAACAAGTTATGTGATTGGTATGTGGCCGCTGTAAAAAAAAATGGCAGGAATGTGAGGGGGGGCCATGATGGAGGTTAGAGACGGTGGAACACAGGCAGGACCAATTGGCTTCTTCCTTCCTTTGCCTCCCACCTCAAGGAGGCGCCAGAGCTGAACTCCTGCCTCTCATTACCCAAAGGCCCTGAGGCCAACACCTACCTGCCCCACAGAAGTAAAGGAGCTGGAAGATTGCGATGGAGCCTCACGGTCCAAGCCACGCATGTTCAAGTGTCCCCCCAGCTCCACCCCCAGCTCCACCCCCACCCACCCCCGTCCTGACACAGCCCCCTGACTGGGCCCTGCTATTAATTATCACACACCAGAGAGGGGAGGAGAGAGGGGGCCTAGAGACCCTAGTTCCCATCTGAGAGTCACAATCCTGAGGGGCTGGTGTGTGCCACCCACCGCGTGGCTCGCTCCTTACCCTAGAGATTGTGCTTAGTGATCCCCAGGGAACACCGCCCTGTCCAGGACCGCAGAGCAGGATGCCAACACTGTTGAGGGGGCTCCATGGCCCCTCTTCTGACCATGATCCTCCTCCCCTTTCCTCACTCAGGACTCCTGTTCCCGCTGGGCCACTTGCCCCACCAGGACAAGTGGTTCCAACGGACCTTTGATGACTGAAGATTTCTCCCTCACACTCCCAGGGCTCTGAAACCCAACTGCTCCCCCAGTTTCCTCCTACCTCCTCACTCCCTCACTCGTGGCCTCCCCATGTGGCTGCTTTGCCTCCAAGCATCTCCCAAACATGGCTGCTCACGAGCCCTGGCTCCTTCCCCGTTCCTCCCCTGGCTTCCCAGCCATCTGCAGGCTCAGGATGGGGCTGCTGCTTCAGGCCCTGACAGTAACAAGGACTGGACTCCCCATCCTGCTTTTAATAATGAAAAGCCAGGCAGAATACATGCAAAATGGATTCTCAGACCCTAGGCCACAGGCAAGGCAAGCCAGTAATCTCCGAGAGAAGGGGAACCTACCCTCCAGGCCACCCAGAGAGCCCACTCGTCCCCTTGGCTGAGGAGCAGAAGCCAAGGTGTCTGGTAACCACAGGACAGAGCATCGGAGAGGGTAGGGCTGTCTACACCATGACTCCCAGGTTCCTGTACCTGTGATCAGAGCCTTTGAGCTCCAGCACATCTACCTGCCGCCTGGACATCTCTATCCAGGTGTCTCCAGCTGCCAAAAATGAGGGCATCTTACTTACCCCTCCACTCCTTTCACCCTCACTCTCTCCCAGGGTTCTAATGGACACCTGGAGAGAGTGTCCCCCAAAGTCCCACATCCAATCACTGGCCAAATCCAGTCCTTTCTACTGCCTAACCATCACTCAGCTCAATTTCCTTCCCTGAGCCCAGGACCACAGCCCTGACTCCAGCAGCCTCTTCAGAGAAGCCCAGCCCCCTGACCCTTTCCTCCCTACATTCTCTGCAGGGTGCTGAGTGCGCTTTCTAAAACCCACATGCCATCCTGTCACCCTTTCTGATCATTCTCCAGTGCCCAGGTAAGTCCACACTCCTTAGCTCATGTGGCCTTCTGTCCCCAGCTCCTGCCAACCTCTCTAGTGATACAAACAACACACCCATCTTCACACCTAAGCACGTTCTGCTTCGATTACTTGAAAATGCCTCTTCACTGCCTCCTTGGCTCTTATTCACCTTTCAAACCTTCCAGGAGTCTTCCCCCATTTTCCAGGACCGCCTACGTGCTACAAAAACTCCCCTTGTTGGCAATGATGACCTGTAGATACTGCCCGAGTCCCTGCCTCCCCCGGGAGTAGGGACTATAACCTATGTGATCCACAACACCCCACACACATTAAACTGTTAGGAAATATTTGACTGAATAGGAAACAGGCTGAGAAAGAACATGTCTGTGGACAGGGCTCGCTGGGGGTGGGGGAAGACAGGGAGAATGGGTGAGAAACCATCAAAGAGGAGGTGGGCTCACAGAACAGAGAGGAGGGGAACTGCCCCAGCCTCCAGGCTCACCTCACAGTGATAGCACTCCACATGGTAGTCTCTGTCCATGGACACCACCCGGATGGTTGTCTCACAGCCCTGGAGGAAGAGATGGGGTCCACACACAATAAGCAAGCTAGGGTTTGAGGTGAATTGTGCATGGGGGCACCTACCTACCCCGTGTGCTGTGTCACGGTAGATGTGCATTCGTGCCTGTGTGACACTGACTCAGGGGCGGAATGGGCATCAGTAGACGCACATGAATGGATGTGCATGTGCCAAAAGCATGCACACGTGTCCATGCGAGCCATCACGTGGGTGTAAACGTGCAGGTACATATTCTCTTCAGTTCTTTGGAGTCAGGAGACCACTGCCAGTCCTGCTTCCCCAGCGTGGGACAGAACCAGCCCAATGCCCGGGAGAGCGCACTACCCAAGGGATCTCCTGCACAGACTGCCCACCTCACCTCCTCTCCCCCCACCTCCACCTGCAGAGGTGAGAGACCCAGGGAGCAGTCCTTCCTTCCACCGATGGGCAGTGCAGCCGAGGGACCACCACTTCCCTCTAACTCGCGCTGGAACACCACGCTCCGCACCCACGGGCACAGACCCACCCCTCAGCCCCGAGGGACCCGGCAGAAGCATTTGCTCATCCCTCCCACAGGGGCCCAAGAGCTGGGCTGACGCAGGCGGGGCCTGGCCCCCGCTGGGCCAGGCACCTGATCCTCTCCTGGTGAGCGGTTCTTACCTGTGCAGGGAGAATAGGACGAGCACAGGAGGCACATTTTGGTGCAAAAGCCCTGGAAAATAAAGGAAACCAGAAGAGACCCGCTGAGTGGCCACAGGCCAAGGGCACAGGGCAGGCCTGCCCACACAGCCCCATGACCTTGCCCACAGCTTCTGCCATGCCTTCTTGGCACTTGCCCTTTATCTGACTCTCCAATGCCCCTCCTTCCTATGCCCTCCTCCAGGATGGCTTCAGGGTCCACTGAGCACTCTCCCTCATGCTTCCTGCAAGGTCCCTGCCCCCAAATGTCCAGGTATGGGCCGCCCTCTAGCTGAGATGCCTGCAAAGCTGGCTCCACACTGAGTAACAGGACCTACACCAGGTATCAACCCCAGGCATGGCAGCAACACGGGACCAGAGCTCCGAGGGCTGAGCCTGGAGTCACAGCAGCGTGAGTACCGAACAGGAAGGAAAAAGAACGTGTGGAGATCCCTACCCCCACCCCAGATAAGGATGCCTGGCCTGGGACAGACGGATAGAAGCGAGGTATGGCCGCAAGGAGAGTCCTCAGCACTAGGAGAAGGGGAGCATGCAGGGAAAGATGGGGAGAGAAAAGACGTGGCTGGTGGCTGAACCACCAAGAGATCTGTAGTCTGACCCAACCACTGGGCACCCAAGGGAAGGCTGGAAGTGAAAAGGTCAGGGAGAACAAGCCCTAGCTGGGCTGGTCAGTGGTTAGAGCATCGACCCTCAAGACTGATGGGTCACAGGTTCGATTCTGGTCAAGGGCAGGTACCTCAGCTGCAGGCTCGGTCCTCAGCCCTGGTAGGGGCATGTGCGAGAGGTAACCCTCGCTCTCCCCACCCCCCACTTCCCTTCCCTCCCCGTCCCTTCCATTCTCTTTAAAAAAAAATGAACCGAAAAATATCCTCAGGTGTAGATTAACAAAACAAACAAAAAAGAATGGAGACCACAGACAGGCAGGCCAGGAAACGTTTCCAGGGGAAGCAGGAGACACAGTGGGACCCACGCCGGCCACTCACGTGTGATAGTCTCGGACACAGTAGATGTTGTTCTCCACGTCCACAGTGAAGGGCACCCCGTCCAGGCACTCGTTGCACACGGAGCACCGGAAACAGCCGGGGTGATAGGACTTCCCCAGGGCCTGGAGGATCTGGGGTGGGAGGCACTGAGGGTCAGTGCAGGAGGAGCTCAGCACCGCCCCCGGTACTGGCTCTGGCTCTGAGCCCCTAGCAGGTCTACAACAGGTGAAAAGGGCAGGCTCCTAAGTTTGCCCACGCCAGAGGAACTCCAGGAGGCTGGGGAGGTTCTCACCATCTCCATGATGAGGTGTCCACACACGCTACACTTGTCAGCCGTTTGCTGGAACCCGGAGTACTAGCAAGGGACACAGGATCCAGGAGGTTACGTGACAAAGGGGCACCCTGCCCAGCCAGCACCTGTCTCCTGGCCTCAGGTCTCCATGGGAATCAGGAGGGGCCAGCCAGTGCTCAGCCTGACTCACCAGGAAGTCCTCCTGGCAGTACACTTTCTCGCCCACGTTGTAGAACGCCTTCCCACGAAGCCGTCTCCCTGCAAGGACGAGGGTCGAGAAAGGGTCCCTGGGCCGCTGGAAACCAGGGTGGGTCCCTGCTGCCATTTCTCCAACAGACCAGAAGCGGATTACAGACAAATAAGTTTTCCCTTTAATGTGATGTTATTATCATTATACGAATTAATTTAAGTGTATTTTTCAATTACAGTTGACAAGCATTATATTAGCTTCAGGTGTACAGCGCGGTGATTAGACATTTGTATTACTTACAAAGTGATCACCCCAGGAAGTCTAATTCCCTGACACCACACACAGTTTTTACAGCATCACTGGCTATGCTCCCTATACTGTGCTTTACTTCGTGATTCTTCTGAACCACCAGTATCACTTTTTATTTCACCTTTTACCCAGCCCCCCAAACTCCCTTCCAACTGGCAACTATCAGTCTGTTCTCTGAGTCTATGACTGTTTTGTTTGTTGCTTTATTTTAAATATTTTAAGTGAATTATAAGGTATTTGTCTTTCTCTGTCAAACTGATTTCACTTGGCATAATACCCTCTAGATCCACTCATGTTGCAAATGGTAATACTTCATTCTTTTTAATATATCATTATCCTATAAAGCAGTAATATGCAAATTGACCCTCACACCCTCACAAGATGGCTGCCTATGACCAGGCCAGCAAGGGGTTAGGGAGAAACAACCAAATGACTTAACAAGCAGGCTGCGTGAGGCAACCAGGCCAGTGGCGGGGGGGGGGGGGGAGTTAGGGGCAACCAGGCAGGCAGGCAGGTGAGCAATTAGGAGCCAGCGATCCAGGATTGAGAGAGGGATGTTCCACTGCCAGTCAACCTGCAGTCAGACATCCCCCGAAGGGTCCCAGATTGGAGAGGGTGCAGGCTGGGCTGAGGGGGACCCTCCTCCCATGCACAAATTTTGTGCACTGGGCCTCTAGTATATTATGTGTACCACACTTTTTTATCCACTCATCTACTGATGGGCACTTTGGGTGCTTCTTGGCTGTAAATAATGTTGTAACAAACACAGGGATGCATTTATCTTTTCAAATTCGTGTTTTTGGATTTCTTTGGATAAAAAACCACAAGTGGAATTGCTACGTCATATGGTCATTTTAATGTTTTACTGTTTTCCCCAGGGGCTGCACCAATTTAGAATCCCAGCAGTGCACAAGGATTCCTTTTTCTCCACATCCTTCCCAACACTTTTTGTTTGTTGATTTATTGGTGACAGCCTTTCTGACAGGTGTGAGATGAGAGCTCGTTGTGGTTTCAATTGGCATTTCCCTGATGATCAGTGCTGCTGAGCATCTTTTCATGTAGTAATTTTTTTAGGGCACTAAGTTTTATTTTTGGGGGTGGGGAAGGACACCACACTTCAACAGCTATTAGAGATGTGAGTAAACCGCGGGCCTCACCGAGGACAAGAGGACACTTCTCCACCAGGACGGCACTGTGAAAGCGCACAGCTTACGGCAGACATGAGGTGATGCCGGGAACCAATTCCAGCATGTAATAAATACAAGAGTTTCATCAAAAGGTTGGTGAAGCCCAAACCAGTGTGGCTCAGTGGATAGAGCGTCGGCCTACGGACTCAGGGTTCCCAGGTTCAATTCCAGTCAAGGGCATGTACCTTGATTGTGGGCACATCCCCAGTAGGGGGTGTGCAAGAGGCAGCTGATCATTGTTTCTCTCTCATGGATGTTTGACTCTCTCTCCCTCTCCCTTCCTCTCTGTAAAAAATTAATAAAATATATATATTTTTTTAAAGGTTGGTGAAGCTCAACAAGGGTGACCACATATGTAGTTTACTTGTTGTAAACGGCACTTCCCCCAAACCTGAATAGGATTGTCTGCTGCCAGACAGCTCAGGGCATTTTATTACCTCCTGTAGGCCAAACACCTGAGCAGCTGTAGGCTATTCCCCAAACTGGTAATGCTTCTGTATACCCTTTGAAACCTTACCCTTTGACAGGTATATCTCCACCATGCCTTGGGACAAATTGTGTTTAATAAAAGCATGGGTCCTTAGACAGGAAAGGAGTCTTTAGCTCCTTTAGCTGAAGATCCTCTAACCCCCAATGCCTTTCAAAATTATCTTTTGTTGCCGAAATTGGTTGGGCTCAGTGGATAGAGTGTTGGCCTATAGACTGAAGGATCCTGGGTTCGATTCCGGTCAGGAGCATGGATAATACCTTGGTTGTGGGCACATCCCACTGCGGGGTGTGCAGGAGGCAGCTGACTGATGTTTCTCTCTCATCGATGTTTCTAACTCTCTATCCCTCTCCCTTCCTCTCTGTAAAATATATATTTTATTTATTTATTTATTTATTTATTTATTTATTTATTTATTTATCTATCTTTTGTCTCTGGACTCTTTGATCATCTACTCGAAGCCCCTTTCTCCAGAATGCTGAACCCTTTGTAAGTCTGGGAAAAGAACCCCCACAAAGTGATACAGTAAATGCACTAGCCCTACTCCTAAGGCTAGTAAGATATGGAAATAAACGTAAAAATTGGGAAGAAAAAGTAAGACTTTTTAAACACAGACATTATGTTATGTAGAAATTCATAAGAAATCTAAAAAAAAAAATCCCTAGAACATGTGAGTTTATCAAGACTGTAAGATAGATAGTCAGCATGTGAAAACCAAATATATTTTTATATCAATAGTCTAGCAACAAATGATTAGAAATGAACATAATTTTTAAAGTTACACTTATAATAGTATCCAAAAAATCCATCAGTACTAAGGGATAAATTTAATGAAAGGCATGCCTGAACTTACTCTGAAAGCTAAACTTTGCTGAGAGAAATTGTGGAAGACCCACATGAACAGAGGCATGCCACTGCTGCAGGCAGCGCTCCATGGGTCGCTCGCATCCCGCACATCTTGCACACAGAGCTTCAGGTTTCATTCTGGATGATCTTTCCTTCCTTTTGTTGTTTTCTGTTAATCCTCACCTGAGGATATTTTTCCCACTGTTTTTCAGAGAGCGTGGAAGGGTGGACTGAAAGGTCCTGGGTTCAATCCCCAATAGGGAGTGTGCAGGAGACAGCAATCAATGATTCTCTCTCATCATTGATGTTTTATTATTTTTTAAATATATTTTATTGATTATTTATAGAACGGAAGGGAGAGGGACAGAGAGATAGAAACATCGATGAGAGAGAAACATCAATCAGCTGCCTCCTGCACACTCCACAATGGGGATGTGCCTGCAACCAAGTACATATCCTTGACCAGAATCGAACCTGAGACCCTTCAGTCCACAGGTCTACGCTCTATCCACTGAGCCAAACCAGTTTCGGCTCATCATTGATGTTTTATCTCTCCCTTCCTCTCTGCAATCAATTTAAAAAAAATTTCAAATGACACAAAAATATACAAAGCAAATGACCTGTAATTTAAATAAATGAATAACAGAGTGGAAGGAAAGAAGAGATGAAGAGAGGGAAGGAAGAAGGGAGGCAAACCAATTGGCTGCCTCCTGAACATACCCCGATCAGGGCCAGGGATCAAACCTGCAACCCAGGCACGTGCCCTCGGCCAGGAATGGAACCCGAGACCTTTCGGTGTGAGGGCCACTGCTCTAACCACTGAGCAACACCAGGCAGGGCATGGGTTATCTTTCCAAGGACATCTGTGGAGCAAACTGTTTAGAAGACAGAGGTAGCATCTCCCTCTGAAGCTCAGGGCAGGCTTATTCACTGTCCAGAGTAATAAAGATGCGTTCCTCCAGGACAAGGGTCAGAGAGCGTTGCTGGCAGCCCATTATAAAATACCGGAGTTCCCTAAGCTCAGTGTTCCTCAGCCCTGACTCAGACCCACAGCATGAGCAGAGTCCATCAAGGCCACCCCAAGTGACCCCTGTGGGACTCAAGAGGGCAAACATGATGTGAACATTAGTGACATGCGTGCAGCTTGCGGTGCTGAGAGTCTGCCAGGCGGCTCATGTCTTCACTCAGCATCCATGAAATGGGGCAGGCTGACTGGTCAGCTTGCAAGTAGGAAAAAATCTCTCTTAGACCCTGAACAGCCCCTGACAACCATCTTCATGGCTTCAGATGCTGCTTTCAGTTCTCCCCAAATTGATCTATACATTCAAATGCTTTTCTTTTAAGAATAGCTAAAATTTATTTAAAACCAATAAAATACATTTTAAGACAAAACCTCAAGAAACAAAAGCTTAGAATTTATACAAAAAATAAACACTAGTTTGATAAAATAAAGAAAAAATGAATTATTACACAACTTGGGATTTGAAATAGTTTAACTGAAAATGGATATGAGCCTCTTTTTTCTCTATTTTGCCCAAACAAAATGCCAGCACTCATTTATGTGTGTGTGTGTGGAAATTGACATGCCAATTTTGAAATTTATATAAGAAAAAAAAAGTCAAAACCAGTTTGGCTCAGTGGTAGAGCATCGGTCTGCGAACTGAAAGGTCCCAGGTTTGATTCCGGTCAGGAGCATGTACATTGGTTGCGGGCACATCCCCGGTAGGGGGTGTGCAAGAGGCAGCTGGTCGGTGTTTCTCTCTCATCGACATTTCTAGCTCTCTCCTTTCCTCTCTGTAAAAAATTAATAAAAATATATTAAAAAGAACATCGAATAGCCAAAATAATCTTTTTTTAAAATATAATCTTTTTTTTAATATATATTTTTTATTGATTTTTATAGAGAGGAAGAGAGAGGGATAGAGAGTTAGAAATATATATCAGCTGCCTCTTGCACACCCCCTACTGGAGATGTGCCCGCAACCAAAGTACATGCCCTTGATCAGAATTGAACCTGGGACCTTTCCGTCCGCAAGCCTACGCTCTATCCACTGAGCCAAACCGGTTTCGGCTAGCCAAAATAATCTTGAAAAAAAGACTGACAAAGCGGGAAGACTTATAATATGTACTATATTAAGACTTACAGTAATCAAAGACAGTGTAATAATACTGGGATGAGGAGACAAAAAAATTGGTGGAACAGAACAAAGTCCAAAAATAGACCCAGAACTATTTCAACAAACACACAAGTGGGAAAACAGCACACAGTACTGTAACAACTGAATATCCATGTGGAGAAAGAACAAAATTCAATTTCATACTTCACAACATACACAAAAATTAGTATGAAGTGAGTCATCAATCTAAACATAAAAATGGGAAACCTAAAGCTTCCAGAAGAAAATAATGAAAACTATCTTTATGACTCAAAGGAAGACAAAAAAATAAAATAGGTCACCAAAAAATAGTAACTATAAAACAAACAAAAAACTGACACATTGGATTTCATCAAAGTGTGAAATTTATCAAAAAATATATCATTAAAATGTTTTTAAAATCACACTAGGAAAAAATATTAACAAAACATACATGTGAGCCCTAACAGGTTTGGCTCAGTGGATAGAGCATCGGCCTGCGGACTCAAGGGTCCCAGGTTCTTTTCCGGTCAAGGGCATGTACCTTGGTTGCGGGTACATGCCCAGTGGGGGGGATGCAGGAGGCAGCTGATCGATGTTTCTCTCTCATCGATGTTTCTAGTTCTCTATCCCTCTCTATTCCTCTCTGTAAAAAAATAATATATATATTTTTTAAAAAAAAACACATACATATGAAAAGAATTTGTACTTAGAAAATATATATTTTCCTACAACTAAATAATAAAGACAAATAACTCTAAATTTAAAAATGGAACAAAAGACGTGAACAGACTTCACCAAAGACGATATAAATGGCCAAACAGCAGACAAGAAGATATTCAACCTCATTAGTCCTCTATGAAATGCAAATTAAAACCACAATGAGATACCTCTGCACACCACTAGCCTGGCTTAAATCAGCCACCAGTGTTCACTGGCAGAGCGTCAACCTATGGACCAGGAGGTCACGGTCCCATTTCCGGTCAGGGCATATGCCCAGGTTGTGGGCTTGATCCCCAGTAGGGGGTATGCATTCTCTCTCATCATAGATGTTTCTCTTTCTCTCTTTCTCTCTCTCTCTCTGAAATCAATAAAAATATATTTTTTTAATGGCTTAAGTTAAAAAGACTAAAATACCAATTGTCGGCAAATATGTAGAACAACCCAACTCGCTTATATTTCCAGTGGAGTATAAAATGGGAGTATAAAATTTACTGCTTTAGAAAACAGTTTGGCAGTTTCTTATGAAGTTAAACATACACTTAGCCTATGACCCAGAAATTCCAGTTCTTGGAATTTACCCAAGAGAAATGAAAACATTTGTCCACAAATGACCTGTACAAGAATGTTCACAGCAAAATCTAGTATCTACCCACACTTAAATGGATAAATTGTAGAATTCCTTTAGTCTATGTGTAACATGGACAAAAAAAAAAAAAACATGCTTATAAAAAAATCAATCACAAAAATAGTACATACTACATTACTGCATTTAAAAGATGAAACTACCCTGTTTCCCCGAAAATAAGACAGTGTTTTATATTAATTTTTGCTCCCAAAGATGCGCTAGGTGCCAAAACTGGTTTGGCTCAGTGGATAGAGCGTCGGCTTGGGGACTGAAGGGACCCGGGTTCGATTCCGGTCAAGAGCATGTACCTTGGTTGCGGGCACATCCCCAGTAGAGGGTGTGCAAGAGGCAGCTGATTCGATGATTCTCTCTCATCGATGTTTCTAACTCTCTTTCTCTCTCCCTATCTATCTCTGTACAAAATCAATAAAATATATTTTTTTTTAAAAAGATGCGCTAGGTCTTATTTTCAGGGGATGTCTTATTTTTCCATGAAGAAGAGAAGAATATGGTACACATTTATTGTTAAATGAAAATAAAGGAAATTTATTAGCTGTATACGGTATGGTAATATGGTAGTTGTCAACACAAACCAGACAAACTGTGAATCCTACAGTATCAAGAATTTACTCATTTATTCAATGACAATCATGTCATCATCTTCTGGAACATCATAGTAACAATCCAATTCCTGAATTTCCTGGTGAATTTCTTGTGACTCCATTTCTTTCAGAATCAGTGGACCAAATCTCTCGTTTAGCCTAGGGGGGGCCTTATTTTCGGGGGATGCCTTATATTTCACTCAGAAGGAAACCTGTAAGTAGGCCTTATTTTCGGGGAAACGCGGTAATCTATGGCGGTAGCCATCAGAACACTGGTTAGGTGGATGTGATGGGGAAACTACAAAAATTACAGAAGTTTCTGGGATGTTTATGTTCTATATCTTCGTTAGGGTTGTCAGTTACATAAATATGCACACTTATCCAAAATCATTTCACTACAGCTCTGAAGCATCGTCCCTTACACCAAGGGATGGCAGGTTCAATCCCTGGTCAGGTACGTACAGGAGTTAACCAATCGATGTTTCTCTCACCCTGATGTTTCCTTTTCTTAAAAAACTGCATGCCCACTACTGGGAATCAAGCCCACGGTCTGGGTATGTGCCCTTACAGGAAACTGAACCAGAGACTGCTTGGTGCATGGGACAACACCCAAACAACTGAGCCTGCCCAACCCCCTCTCTCTAAAATCAATTTTTTTAATGTGTCTGATGTCATACTTAAGATCTGTTTGCTGTGCTGTATGTGAATTGTACTCAATTAGAAACAAAGATAGACCTAGGCATCTGTGCTTGAGCAGGAGTGCTACAAGAATGATGGGGACATGTCAAAGGGCACAGGGGCCAACTGGAAAGGAGTTAGTCCGGCCCAGTGCGTCATGAAGAATAATGACTGGCCCTGGCCAGTGTGGCTCAGTTGGCTGGCATCACCTTGCAGTGAGAGGTTGCCAGTTCCGTTTCTGGTCAGGACACAGGCCTGGGTTTGGGGCTCTGTCCTCAGGAGGGGGTTGCAGAAGGCAGCTAATAGATGTTTCCCTCCCCCTTCCTCTGGTTCTAAAAATCAATTTTAAAAATCTTTTTTTAATGTCTGTATTGCAACACGTTGCATGGATAAAAAGCCCATGAGTATGTAAGAATACTCACAAAAGAGCAAAATACTTCCCCAATCTAAGTTTAAAATCTTTCCTTAATAGAAAGATTTCAGACGTTCCCTAGGGAAATGCAACTTCAACACAGACCTCAACAAATTCCCACAGGCATATTCCACAATCAAAAATTATAAAACACATGCAAAAACAAGATCTCATGACTGAGAGTGAGGAGAAACAGTAAACAGTAGAAATAGGACTTCAAAAGAATCAGATACTGGGACTATTAGATACAGAATACAGAATAGGTATGTTTAATATGCTTACAAAATAAAAACAGATGTCTACTACATGAGACTACAAAGATTTCTCAGGAAGAGCATTAAAAGCAGTAACTATAAACAAAGAATAATTAGATTTTATTAAGAATTGCTTTTCATCAGAAGACTTCATTTGGAAAGTAATGAAGCAAGAATAGGTTAGGAAAAGAATTTATAACAAATATATCCAACAAAGATCTTTTATCCGGGACATGCAAAGAACTCCTACAATAATGGAAAGATAAGTGTTTTTCTGCAATGGTAAAAACAGCTTCTCAGAATGATCTGATGTAACACATGCCTATATTATACTTTAATAAAATATTAAAATGTTTCATGCAAATGAATGAAGGTGGTCTACTTCTGGGCAAAGCTTAAAAGGATGTAGAAAATCAAGAGTGCAGATTTATTATGTTGGTTGGGTTACAGTTACTTTTCTCTTTTATAACTTTGTCTAGATTAAATTACATTTATAGTTCATAGTGTGTGCAAAATTCAGATAAAAAAGTAATTGCAGCTGAAACCAGTTTGGCTCAGTGGGTAGAGCGTCGGACTGCAGACTGAAAGGTCCCAGGTTCGATTCCAGTCAAGGGCATGTACCTTGGTTGCAGGCACATTCCCAGTGGGGGGTGGGTGTGCGGGAGGCAGCTGGTTGATGTTTCTCTCTCACTGATGTTTCTAACTCTCTATCCCTCTCTCTTCCTCTCTGTAAAAAGTCAACAAAATATATATATATATTTTAAAAGCAATTGCATGGAAAAGAAATATTAGCCCCATACAATGGCAGAAGGCATAGTATCCAAGAGCCAGGAGACTTCGGTACCTGCAGAGGATGAAAGCTGAAGCCCAGGGCAGAGGGGCAGCCTTTCCCTGTGGCTAGCAAACGGCTCCCCTCTGGCCCCACACCTCTCTCCGGGGGCCCAGCAGATCTTCCCAGGGCTGTGAGCCTCTCAAGCAGGCCAGGCCCAGAGAGAAAAGGGCCATAACTTAGCTCCTCCACACTTCAGCCTGGGTCAGAGCTGGTGGTCCATCTGCCTGGGACTTAGGTGCAAAGCAGTCCAATGTTCAAGAGGGGCCAGAAAGAGGTTACCCACCACAGGAGTCACAGACGAAGCAATCGGTGTGATACAGGCTGCCCATTGCCTGGCATGCTTGCCTTGCTCCGTAGATACCAAGCCCACATTTGATGCAAATGCCTACGGGAGGAGAGGCAGAAAGAGCAGTGGTTAGCACCATGCCTGTGTGCTGGATAAACATGCATCCAATTCCCAGGCCTAGTGCCATCCACTCCCCTGATCGTGGGCAAGTGGACGCCTAGATCTCCATCACAGTGACTAATGGCTCACATGGGGCAGCGAGGGTCCCACTGCTTAGGGTTTGCTGTGGCTGTTGTTTAGCAGAGCACCTGGCACAGAGCCATCCTGGCCACAAAAATCGTTATGACCTCTGCATTCCTACAGTCATCTGACCCTTCCCCCGTGACCTGCTCTTGGACTAAAGGAAAATCCTTTCTTCAGACTATGGACCAAAAAGAATGAAGACCACACAGGCACAACCAGGCAGAGTCCCGGACGCTCCCCAGCCACGCTGTTCTCATCTGTACCATAAAGTTCATTCATTCTCTTGTTCAGTCCCCACAGCAACAGCGATGCCGGCCACGTGCCTGCACACTGAGATGCAGAGATTCTGCAAAGCACCAACCAAGTCCCCTCCTTCAAGGAGCCTGTATTCCAGTGGAGGAAGACAGACAATAACACACAAATAATATCTTAGGAGGAAGCAACAAGTGCTATAGAAAAAAAATACTAATTAAAAATATGTCTGAGAAAAAAGAAAAAATATGTCTGTGTGTGTGATTTTTAAGTAGGGCAGTCAGAAAAATCTCTGATGCCCTGGTTAGACCATCAGCCCTTAGACTGAAGGGTCACAGGTTTGATTCCCAGTAAGGAGATTGCGGGTTTGATCCCTGCCCCTCTTGGGGAGTGTTCGGGAGGCAACCAATCAATGTGTCTCTCTCACACTGATGTTTCTCTTTGTCTCCTCTTTCCTCCTTCCTGTCCACTCTCTCTAAAGAGCAATGGAAAAATATCCTCAGGCATCCTCAGGTGAAGATTAAAATAAAGGCTCTGGTGAGAAGGTGATGCCTGAGCAGGCTTCTGGGAGCAATGGGGGAATCCGAGACCATCCCTGGCCGCACAGGGCGGACACCCGGCAGTCAGGAGGGGGGTGAAGGGAAGGATGACCAGCCCGAAGGGACTCTCTGACTAGCCATGTGTGGCCAGCCACACATCTGAAGTCCCTTACTGCCCTCGTCAGCTTGACTCAGTGATGGAGCATCAGCCTGCGGACTGAAGGGCCCTGGGTTTGATTCTGGTCAAGGGCATGTGCCTGGGTTGTGGACTCATGTGCCTGGGTTTTCGGGGGCATGCAGGAGGCAGCCAATAGATGATTCTCTCTCAAAACTGATATTTCTATCTCTCTCTCCCTCTCCCTTCCTCTCTGAAATCAATAAAGATATATTTTTTTAAAAGTCCCCTTCTCAGTTACTGAGGGTGTCCCAGGCCCCAAAGGGCCTGGAGACAGGCTCCACGCCCTCTGGGCCAGGTCTTCTGGCTGCTCTAGGACATGCTGCCCTCACCTCGCCCTCCTGCCTTCGACCAGACCTCTCTCTAACCTTTACCCACGAGCGAGCCTCTTCCTTCTTAAAACCCCCTCCTCCCCATCAGCCGTCCCATTTCCCCTCTCCTCAGTCACGAAAGCAAGCACGGAGAGAACCAAAGATGGCTGACAGGTAAACACGTAGCCGCAGCCGCACACAACAATTTCAATAAAATACAACTAAAATATAAAATGGACATAACCCAGAATTACAGGAAAGTCGACTGAGTGGAAATTCTACAACGAGAAACGAGGAGAAGGAAGCGCGGAGGAGCTGGAAAAGCCCAAGGTACGGAGACATGCGGCGCGCGGAGAGGACGGAGCCGGAGAGGAGGGAGGCTGACTGCCTGGCTGGCGTTCCCTAGCGGGAAGGAGATAAAACTCTGACTGTGCTGGGCCCCCGACTGCTCTGAACCCCAGTTCTAGGCCGAACCCCGGGGACCCAGGCTCACCCAAAGGGAGCTGGGCTGCGAGGCGGAGCCCCGGGGGTGCGGCGAAAGGAGGTCCCAGAGGCGCACATATTGCGCGCAGAGAAGGGACCGTTGGCTGTGCCGCGGGATTGCCCTGGCGGGAAGGACACTGGGGTTCCGGACTGCTCTGAACGCCACCTCCAACTCCACTTCCAACTGAACTGAACCCCAGTTCCGGGCTCATTGGGGGAGAGCCTAGACTGTTTGGCAGCAGGCGAAAATCGAGGGCACCTTTCTCTCAGAGGTGCTTGCAGCCAGCACTGAAGGACCCTGGGGATTACTGAGACTCAGGAACCGCATAGGGCGGGGCTGACGGAAGCCACTGTAGGCTCCACCCTGAAACCCCGCCCCATCATGGAAGCTGCGAAAATGCCGAGACATCGAAATAGATCACAAACAAAAAAAATGGAGGACAAAAAGCGTCTGGATATAGAGTTCAAATCTACGCTTATAAGGTTTTTCAAGAATTTCCTAGAAAAGGCCGATAAGACCTATGAGGATATGAAAAGGGATCAACTAGAATTAATAGGAATCAACAAGAAATGATAAGAGATCAACAAGAAATAAAGAATACATTGTGTGAAATAAAAAATATTATACAGAGTCCTAAAAACAGAATGGAAGATCGAAAGAATCAAGTCAAAGATTTGGAACATAAAGAGCCAGAAGACACTCCTCCACAGAAGCAAGAAGGCAAGAGAATCCAGAAAATTGACAATAATGTAAGAAACCTCTGGGACAACTTCAAGCGAACCAACATCAGAATTATGGAGTCTCAGAAGATGAGAGAGAGCAAGATATCAAAAACATACTGAAAGAAAGTGACAGAAAACTTCCCCCACCTGGTGAAAGAATTAGACTTACAAATCCAAGAAGCGCACAGAACTCCAAACAAAAGGAATCCAAAGAAGACCACACCAAGACAAATCATAATTAAAATTCCAAGAGCAAAAGACAAAGAGAGAATATTAAAAGCAGCAAGAGCAAAGCAGGTAGTTACCTATAAAGGAGCACCTATACGATTGTCAGCTGATTTCTCAACAGAAACCATGCAGGCCAGATGGGAATGGCAAGAAATATTCAAGGTGATGAATAGTAAGAACCTACAGCCAAAGATAATCTACCCAGCAAAGCTATCACTCAGAATCGAAGGCCAGATAAAGAGCTTCACTAATAAAAAAAAAGCTAAAGGAATTCATCACCACCAAACCAGAATTATATGAATTGCTGGGGGTTCTTCTGGAAGAGAAAGTAAATAAAGATAAAAATTATGAACAACAAATACGTAACTATCAACAAGTGAATCTAAAAACCAAGGAAATTAAAAAAAAAATCTGATGAACAATATTAACTATGGAAGGGGAGTGAACTGATGATTCTTGGGGAAAAGGGGAGAGGGGGATGTGGGAAGAGACTGAACATAAACTGTGCACCTATGGATGAGGACAATGGGGAGTGGGGAAAGGCAGAGGGTGGGGTGGGAACCTGGTGGAGGAGAGCAATAGGGGGAGGGGGGAGGAATATTTGTAATAATATGAACAATAAAAATTTATTTTAAAATAAAATAAAACATATAAAAAATTTTTTTAAAAAAAGCAAGTACACTTAGCCCACACTCAGTCACCTAACTGTGCAAGTCCATGACTTCCTGTTCAGATATTGCCAGGAGACCTCTCCCCATGGTTTCCAGGATAGACCTGCACCTGCTTCTGGTTCCTCTCCCTTCCTGTCCTGTCTTGGGTCCCCATGAGTGCTCTCCCAAAGCCACGCAGGACCGTAAGGGTGGCTGGTGGAGACCAGGTGACGGAGGAGAGCCATGGCCGCCAGCAGTCGCAGCCATGCCTCGACCTGCGAACAGTTACCAGGTGGAATGCAGGCCCAGCACTGCTAAAGATTCTAATTTTTCAAGGCAAGTCAGACATATAGATTTGTGTGTAAAATCTTTCCACACTGAAATTAATTACTAACTTAAATGTTTTGAAAATGCAGCCAAGCAGGCCTCTCTGAGAAGTCCCAGCCCCTCTCCACGCCTCTGCAGAGGGCTCTGCCCCAGCCAGGACCTCTCTCCTCAGTCCCTGCTCCACCTCCCAATGGCCCCCACACCCCTTCAGGTCCAGAACAAAGGTCCAGAGTCCCCACAAAACTGCCCTGGCCCTGGCCGGTTGGGCTCAGTGTATAGAGCGTCGGCCTGTGGACCAAAGGGTCACGGGTTCAATTCCAATCAAGGACACATACTTCAGCTGCAGGTTCTCCAGCCCCAGTAGGGACACATGTGGGAAGCAACCAAGCAATGAATCTCTCATTTTAATGTTTTTCTCTCCCTCACATACCCTCCTCCCTCTCTTCCATTCTCCCTAGAAATCAATGGAAAAAATATCCTTGGTTAAGAATTAAAAAATAATGAAAATAAAACTGCTTCTGCCTCTGGTTCCTGCTCAGGAAATGGCACTGTTGGATAGCCAGGTTTCAGGGAGCACCCAGGGATGTCTCTCTCTCTCTCTCCTCCAACTCTGAATTTGGGCTCCTCTGTTCCCTAATCTTTACTTCATTCCTACCCTCACTCCCACTAGCCTGATTCACCATCATCAGTTCTCATGCCAATGGTTATTTCAACAGCCTCCTCCTGCTGTCCCAGCCTGGCCTCCAAAACACATCCCAAAACTTGCAGCCAGACCTTCTTTCTAAAGTGAAAATGATCCACTCTCACACCTTCACTCTTGTCCATGTACTTGAAAGTCCGACCTTGTCACTCGGCCAAGTTCCTGGGCTAGGTGAATAAATAGAAGCCAGCTGCCCGTGGGCCCGCTATGACCTTGCAGCATTAGGTTTTTGGTTCTGTTTGATGTTTTCCTCAATATGTGCCTGCATCACTTTAATAAAAATACTCTGAAGGAGGAGAACCAAAGCGTGAGGTACCTCAGAAATTCAGGGAGCAGAACACGTCAACGGGACGGACTCCCCCTGTGGGATGCAGCAGTGAGGCCGGGGAGTCAGTGGGTCACTGAGTGAGAGGATATCAGAGGCGGATAAGCAAAGACATGCCAACCAGACAAGCAGGTGAGAAGATG